TAAAAATAATGGGAACTAAACAAGGGTTTAATCACACATCTATATCTGTAATATATTAACAGGGTGTTTGAGTCTAGTTATTTTTGAAAAATATATTTTGGAATATTATATTGATAGAGAAAGTGTTGTTAAAAAAGAAGAATTTTTTTTTCATTTGTATGTAGTATTATTTTAATAAAGAATGTGTAGTTGAAAAGAAGAGGGCGAAAAATGTATTTTAAGAAAAATGAGAATCAAACGAGTCATAAATATCACATAAAATGATAATCAATTTTTGATGATTATAACCTACTACAATTCAATTATTTTAATAATATCTTACTTTTCATTTTTCAATATATAATAAATACTACATAATTCTTGTCATATTTTTAATTTAGTATTATTAATTCTCAATTAATTAAGATTTACATTAATCTGGATTTGATGAATCTTGATTTACATGAATCTAGTGTTATTATAGATTAATTTATTTCTATTCATATATTTAGGAATTTTAATAGGCATTTAAATTCATGTATTAGCAATTAATTCTTATGTACTAAATGTTACATATTTGTAGTATTTCATCATTACAAAAAATTTGAATTATAGAAGTAGAGATTTGAGAGTACAATTTTCCTGTTTTAAATTTCTATTCTAAATTTTATTTTATTTATTTCGTTTGAGACTCATCAAATTCTCAAAACAAATTGGTATCAAATATTACTTTTACAGCATTTACAAAGTATTTCAGAATGACTCGCAATGCAAGTTCAACTTTGACTAATTCTTAAGAAAAATACTATTCTAAAACATATTTTTCTCAAAAATCTTATTCTAATGGAGCCCAAACAGATGCTAAAATATCCGTATTATCATGTCCAGTCACCCACGCGCTATTCTGAATAAAGAGAAAGCATGCTTATAACTAGAAAGAAAGCATCTTCTACGGGCAGCTCTTTGGTCATCCTTCCGTGAAATTGACGTAACTGGACCCTTTTTTTAGTCCTCACTGTATGGGCCGTGGCTGGGTTCCATGTCCATGTGGTAGCCAATTTCTGGGGACCAACCTGCGATAAAAGTCTCTTTTTGACCCCACTTTTTAAAATGTGGTTTTTAAAACTCATCTTCAATCAAAGTTCGAGATCTAAAAATTTTATCCAACTGCATATTTTATCAACTTCTGTAAAAGTCCGATTTTTACCCAAGTGAAACATGAGCTAAGTGAAATAGCAACATTTTCTTGAAACAAGCGATCGATGAACGAAAGGCTATGAAACTGACTTCATAAAATTTGTTTTATTTTAAACTTGAGTTAGTGTCAAGAAGCATGTTTGTTTCAATGCCACGCATTGATTCAATGAAAATTTATACTATTTTTACCGTTAACGATTTATTGTGCAATTATAGTAGGAGGTTGAGTACGGCCTTCCAAATGTTAGTTTTAAAACAATAGGTTGATGCATTCCCCTAAATACACATATATGCACTTTTTGGGGGATTTTAATAATTTTATTTTCCATTTTTGTGCAAATGTATGGATATTATAATATGCCATTGCATCGAGAAACTTATCACCATCACAATTGTTGAAGTTTTCGAATTGTATTAATTGTATCTACCATTTAATGTCGCATTAGTGTCATCTAAATTGATGTTTTAACACCGAAAATGTTAAATCACAAAACTCTACTTTAATTAACGCGATTTAGTTCATCGTGGCAATTAACGACAATACTTTAAATTACATGCCCCTGTTTTCAAGTCGAGTAACTATTTAAGTGAAAAAATATTATAATGAAATATTTTAAATTTTTATCAAACTTCATCTAGAACAAGCCCTTTATTTAACAATAATTAGGTTAATTTCACAAACGGTCATTGAAGTTACGCAAAAATAACAAAACAGTTACTAAAGTTTAAAACTTGCAGAAATGGTCACTGAACTTAGTTTTAGTACTATTATTACTGAAGTTACTCGAAAATAATAAAACGGTCACTAAAGTTTAAAACTTATAGAAATGGTCACTGAAGTTTCGTGCGATTTCAAAAACGGTCACTTAACTTAGTTTTAGTACTATTATGTTTTAATTCAAACCAAAAGCACCAAAACACGTGGACTAGAAGTTGGAGGACCTTAAGTGAAAATTTCAACTTAAAATCTGCCCAACCACAGACCACCACTTTTCGCACCACATTCCACCACATTCAGCCACATTCCGGCCACCAAAATCACCTAACCAACACACCATCTTGAAGCCCTTGCTTCCCTCTAAGCAACCCACCCAAGAACCGCCCCTACCTCCGACGGTGGTGGCCGGAATTTCGTTCCAAAGTGGGCCTCTCGCACAGCCGGCAGTTTTGTGATGTGTGAGAGGTCCAATTTTGAACGAAATTCCACCACTTTTCGTCTACCAAAACCACCAGATCAACATACCACCTTGAAACCCTCGCTTCCCTCTATGCAACCTACCCAAGAATCATCCCTAAATCCTCTGGTAAGTGGCCGGAATTTCGTCCCAAAGTGGGCCACTCTCACAGCAAAAATTGCCTGTCACCACTTTGGGACAAAATTCCGGCCACTTTCAACGATTTAGGAGCGATTCTTGGGTGGGTTAAGTAGAGGAAAGCGAGGGCTTCAAGATGGTGTTTGGTCGGTGGTTTTGGTGGCCGAAAAGTGGTGGAATTTGGTTCCAAAGTGACGACTAGCATTGCTGTCCCGTGCGAGCCCACCACTTTGGGACAAAATTCCAGCCACTTTCCGGTGGATTTAAGAGCGATTGTTGGGTAGGTTGTGTAGAGGACAGAGAGGGCTTCAAGACTTGTGTTGGTCCAGTGGTTTTGGTGGCCGAAAAGTGGTGGAATTTGGTCCCAAAGTTGCGGCTGGCATTGCTGTCATGTGCGAGCCCACCACTTTGGGACTAAATTCCGGCCACTTTCCGATGGATTTAGGAGCAATTCTTGGGTGTGTTGTGTATACGACAACAAGGGCTTCAAGGTGGTGTGTTGTTCCAGTGGTTTTGGTGAGCGGAAAGTAGGGGAATTTCGTCCAAAATTGGGCCTCTCACACATCACAAAACTATCGGCTATGCGAGAGGCCCACTTTGGGACGAAATTTCGGCCACCACCACTGTCGGAGGAAGGGACGGTTCTTGGGTGGGTTGCATAAAGGGAAGCGAGGGATTCAAGATGGTATGTTGGTTCGGTGGTTTTCATGGCTGGAATGTAATGGAATAGGGCGCGAAAAGTGGCGATCTGGGTTTGGGGTTGGAGAGACTTTAAGTTGAATTTTGCACTTGAGGTCCTCCACTTCTATGTCCACATGTTTTGGTGCTTTAGGTTTGAATTAAAACAAATAGTACTAAAACTAAGTTCAGTGGCCATTTTTGAAATCGCATGAAACTTTAGTGACCATTTCTGCAAGTTTTAAACTTTAGTAACCGTTTTGTTATTTTCGTGTAATTTCAGTGACCGTTTATGAAATTAACCCACAATAATTATTTCCAAACACTTTTTTTCTGCATACTCATTTTTAACAACATATTAAGAGCCCGTTTGTCTACCATTATTGGTAGAGAAATGAAGTAAGGAATAGTATTTTTTGGAGAATGTGTGGTTAAACTTTAAAGTAACTTTATTGGTTTGTGTGTGAAATATTTTATTGAGTGAATATGTGGTTGAAATTGTTTAATGTAAAAAACAATGTTGATAAAAATAGTAGACAAGCAGGGGTTAACATAACAAAATATTATACACATAAACACAATTTTTTTTTTCACTTTTTGTTCACATATTCTTCTAAAAATTACTATTCAAAATATTATTTTTTGGAAGTAATGGCCACCGAAAAGGGGCAAGTGAAGCTAATTGAATCATAAGATCTCTGTATAAGTGGTCGTCTAAAAAAGTTTTTTATAAACTATTTTGTTGATTATGATAAAAGTTGATAAAATACATAATTATAAAGAGGATAACAGTTATGAGTCTAATAAAATATATGGTTAAAACTAATTGTTAACTTTGATTTCAATTTTTAACAACTATTGAAGCTATACCAAACGAGCACTAAAGGACAAATAAAAAGTCAAGCTCGGCACATCTTTATTTGCTTGATCCAGGATATTATTTTTAAAAATATTTATTATTATTTGTCATCAATAAATATGTTTTACCAAGTAAACAACAATTTTTATATTGAAAATAGAAAAACGATTTTGTTTGAAAAATATCTGGCAATAAAATATTAGCCATAGATAATATTCAGCCTCGTTTGTCTTTCATTATTTCAAAACATTGATTGCTACAGTAAGATTCTCCACCATACATATTCCCAATAAAATATTCTATACACAAACCAATAAATTTATTTTAAATTTCAACCACACATTCTCTAAAATATATTATTCATTACTCTATTTCTTCTAAAATAATGGAAGACAAACACACACTCAGTTTTCACACATACAAGAGTAATGCTACATGAATCGAATTTCTTTACCTAATTCTTTATCGACTACTCAAAATAGAGGGTGAAGACCACATTTTGTGATTTTTTTATTCACACGGGACCACGTGCATATGAAAGGGTGTAAACAATTCGGTAGACATTTTTCTGTACAATATCTTTATCCCACATAAAAAATACTAGCCACTAGGATTGCCACAGATAACACCGTACCTAGAGGAATATCCGTGCAGCTCGCCCATGTCAGTCTCCCGGGTTTGGTACTGTAAGAACCGAGAGTTGTAATTGACCGCCAACGTTTTAGGTTCTCAAATCACGGAATTGTAGGAAAAGGAACAGGAGGATATTCGTCTGCTGGGGGAAAAGCTAGTAATCAATGAAACTCGTCCCTACCACGATTTTCTAATTTCTTTTCGATCCCCAAATTTCGCCAAATCATCAATTGAATGATTAAAATAATAACACAGAGAACCCTAACCTAATCATATTTATATACTTTTATTATGTCCATTTCATTTCAAATTCAACCCAATTAGAGGGAAGGGAGGTGGGGATGGCGATACTGTACGCTCTTGTGGCGCGTGGATCGGTTGTTCTGGCGGAATACAGCCCCACGACGACGACGGCAAACGCTATTGCCCGGCAAATCCTCGAAAAGATCCCCGGGAACAACGACAGCAATGTTTCCTACTCTCAGGATCGGTATATTTTCCATGTCAAACGGACTGATGGACTCACCGTACTTTGTATGGCCGATGATACTGCCGGACGTATGTATTTTTTTTTCCTTCGAAAATGGACGTATATAATTTATTTTCACAATTTTTACTTTTTTTTTGTGGAATATCATTTTTTACTTGAGCGTTGAATGATTTGGGAATTTGAATTCTGTAATGTGATTTCTCGCAATTGGAGTTTTGGTTAGAAGGAATTGAATTTGGGTTGTGAATTATTATCGTAAAAGATTGTTGCTTTTGTGATATTGAAGGTTGGATTTTTATAGGAACGTGTAGATTGGACTGTGGTTATTTTTTTGGTGAAATTCGATTTGGATATTGGAAAATTTAAACTTTGAAGTGATTTTCGGATTTTAAAATTTGAGATTTCGTTATGGATCTGATATGAAGCCTAAATGTTGCTTTTTAGTTATATTGAAATGATTGTTTCCTGCTTGTGACTAGTTTTGCTTGGCGACATGTGATCCTTGCATACGGTGAATTAAATTGGAAAGTCTTAGAATTAGTTAAATAAATATCTATTCGATTCGTATCTTTATCCTGTTCAATTGCGTAAAAGTCTAATAATCTTGCAAAGTTTTTCCCTACTGTTAATATTAATGTTTTGTATGATAAAATCAATTAATTATAGAAAAAATAAAAAATTTAGGTCTCAAAAATCAAATTTGAGTTCATCTCAGTATTTGGAGTAACGTTGGTATGTGAGAAACCATAATAGTTTGAAAACATGAAGCTGTAAATGTTTTGATGAGGAACTCCTAATTTTGAAACTAGAATGTCATTTGAAGTTTGTACATAATTAGCACCGGGAAAATCCAAAGATAACAGTACAGAAGTTCTGTGCTTCTGATGTTCAAATTGTCCGATTGAATGAATGCTATATGTCTATATGACGACATATGTAGAAACTATAATGAAAAGAGTGAAATAGAGAGGTTTAATATTCTGAAGAGAGAAAAATCCAACTTCATGTATAGAATTTGCTTGTGGCATTTTGAGTTTTTGGAAAGTATGGGCCTCGCAGCTTGCTCATACAGTTTTATATTGGATTACAAGTAAGTAACTATTGCTGAATTTGGTGTCTTGGGAATGAGGAGTTGAAATTTTGAAAAATGGTGGAATAGGAATTTATTGGGTTTTGCAATTGATTTTTGACACTTTATGCGCATGCCGTGTTATACTATCATATTAGCATTTGTCATAATTCTGACAAATCCACTGTCCCCAGTGTTTCTGTGTATTATGTGCTGATTTTGCCTAATTTTATTGTATCTCAATAATTTTGCAGGGAGAATCCCTTTTGCATTTCTGGAAGAAATTCATCAAAGATTTGTGAGAACATATGGCAGAGCTGTATTGTCTGCCCAAGCGTATGCAATGAATGATGAATTTTCAAGGGTATTGAGTCAACAAATGGAGTATTTCTCTAATGATCCAAATGCTGACAGAATAAACCGTCTAAAAGGCGAAATGAGTCAGGTAATATTTGATTTATCTAACAGATTTCAATTCATGTTTCTGTTGAGCTTCATTTCCATTCCTTTTTACTTGTCTAGTTTTAGATCCACCTTTAGCTTTCCAGAGTGTTGTCATGATTCCCGATTGAAATACTTTTGCCAGAACCATTGTGTGACTTCTGTTGGTTCAATACAATGAACTGTAGATGCATTTGGGGCAAACATTTTTGCTATGATGGCAGAAATGTAGAATTCCTCTCTGATAAATGCTCTCTATAATCTACATGCATATTTTTCAGGTTTATTTGGGTTGATGACAACTTTTGACATTCATTTTTTGTATTGAGTCTATTGACATTACAGGTGCGCAGTGTCATGATAGAGAATATTGATAAAGTTTTGGACAGAGGTGATCGATTGGAGTTGCTGGTTGATAAAACGTCCACTATGCAAGACAACACTTTTCGCTTCAGGAAGCAGGCTCGACGTTTTAGAAGCACTGTTTGGTGGAGAAATGTTAAGCTAACGTAAGTTATATCAATTTTGATAACTTGGAGATTTTTTACTTTTGCATTCAGATAGGTCCATTATCTACTTGAAGTTGATGAATGAATGCTTGTTGCATATCTTCTAGGTTGTAAGCCTAATGAAACAGGATTCAGGTATGAATGATGAGCTATGACGTAGTGGTCTATAAAAACCCCATATGAAACTAATGTTTTGCTCCAGTGAGCTTGTGATGTTGGAGACCTAAGTAACTTCTACATTACTGTCAAAATAATGAACTTATTTCCAACTTCAACCCATCAAAAAACTACATTATTTTACAACTTCTTTATTTATAAGTAAAATTTTAAGCTTAGTCAAAATGCTCTTCAGTTATGTGAGCTCCAACTTTCTTTTAATTTTGGGAAATAATCGTGGAGTATATGGAAGTCCATTTCCTCCCAGTAATGTGAAATGTTCAGCTGATTCACCAGAGTCACTCTACACGCTAAGCATAATTCAGCAGTCGATTATTTCCGCAATTGTGCCCCCTCCTTGCTAACGAATGTTGATTGATTGTCTGCAGGGTTGCATTGATAGTCCTTCTCCTGGTTATAGTGTATGTTGTTTTGGCTTTTGTTTGTCATGGGCTTACTCTTCCAACTTGTCTGAAGTGAGGATCAACATCAAGTGGGATCTCCTTACCTTTTCCCCGGTACTCTTTATTTGTTGAGTATATGTGCAATTCATCTACCTTACTTTTTCTTGTCTTGAAGAAACCTTTGAATTGTGTGTAACCTTGTCAGTTAAATACTTGAGATAGTTCAGCTTGTATGTTTTTCGATTTCCTTGTTTGAGAAGATGCGTGAAATGTTTGCAGTTCCTCTTATGTTTATCGAGATATTTTGGCACTGGGAAACAGAACAATTAAGTAAACAAATTGTAAAATGATTGTAATTCTCTCTTTATTTATTTGTTGAAATAATTATTTTGTAATTTTATTTTATTTTTGCCATCGTCTTTACAATGAGATCATACTTTTATTCTGAGGAAGGGAATTCATCAGTAAAGATCCTACGCGAATAGAACATAATCAAATGCTAAATTCCCTTTGACCTACTTTTAGTTTATCATGCAATTCTTCTGGTTCAAAATACACTGGCAACAAGACTAATATCACGTTATGTTTAAAAAATTCTGTGGATGTTTAATGAAACTTTTACCTAAAGATCATTCATGAAAATCGCCCATATGTGGAAGGGGATAATGTGGATGGCATGATAAAGTTGTCATAAAAGTAATGTAGACACCGTTGATAAAAAATCTTCTCCAATGTAATCTAGGTGGAACTCTATCTAGATGACGCGATAGAGAAAAAGTAAATATTGTCACAAATATTGTTTAGGTGTAGAGACTCTTTTAGAAGGAGTGAAACAAAAAGTTAAGGCCCCGTTCGGGAGGGATTAAAAGTCAATTAAAATTGAAAATATGGCTGTTATTGGGTCCCACTCGTCTAATAAAAGTCAACAATAACGGCTATATTTTCAATTTTAATCTGATTTTAATCCCTCCCATACAAGGCCTTAATATTTTATATAGGGATGTTTTTCGTTAATTCTGAAAGGTNCTTAACGATCTATTTGTTAGGACGATACCCATTGAAAATGAAACTTAACGATCTATTTGTTAGGACGATACCCATTGAAAATGAAACTTAACGATCTATTTGTTAGGACGATACCCATTGAAAATGAAACTTAACGATCTATTTGTTAGACATTGATGCTGCATAAATTAATATTATATCTATTTGTATGTGCTCTATATAACAATTAGGGTCCGTTTGATTGTAAGAATGAAAATTTGGTGGAAAGAAAATGAATTTCAAGGAATTGAATTGTCTAGAACTTGTTTTACTGGGAATTGTCAATTAATTGTATTTGATTAGTATAATTTTCCACCTGAAAAATTTTGAAATTTTGGATCTTTTGATATTCGTTTGGCTTTATTTTTCATGAAAATTGTCAATTAAAAGGATAAAATTTGTTACAATTGGGAATTAAATTTGTTCAATTTTCAAAAAAAAAAAAAAAAAAATTAAAAAAATTAAAAAAGGAAAAAGTTGCATAGAAAAGCTTTTGAATAATGCTAGGTGTACATAACCATTCACATAATGGTTCACATAATACTGACGCGGCAATCATCCACTTGTTGATGAGTAAGTGTGAAATTTGAATTAAAAGTTGGATCACATGCCACATGTAATTATATGAACCA